CAACCCCATCCTGTAAAATAAATACTGCTATAGAAACTTCAAGCTACTAGCTTGAAGCCCTATGTTCCACTAGGGAATGTGAGGTAAAAATTAATAGTCATTTCTTATATTTTGAAGATGAGTTTCATTTCTGTTTTAAAAAAAAGCGATAATGAACAGTAAAATCTTACTTATCCATTCACTGAATTTTCTAACTTAACACTTGTAAGAAATGGTTGGTTAGTGGTCTTATTATTGATTTAACACTATGCACTGTTTTTTTCTCATAAATACTACCGCATTACGTAATCAGTATATATCTAGAAACATTAGAAGAGAGTTGTTACACATACAGAAATTCGCCCATCAGACTGTTAAGAAAAAAAATAAACTTCTTCAGTGGGTTCAACGTTTTTCTAACTCTACGTACACCGAAGTAATATCACATTTGATATCCCAGTGAACATATGTTTTCATCAAAAGTTTCCTTAAGAGGGCAAAGTTAAACATTAAGTACCACTAACTACTACCAATCAGCGAATGACCTCGAAAGCACCAATCACGTGAAGGAGGCATTTTTTGTGTATGGAATACAAATATTTATGAAAAAAATGCATAAAAACGCTAGAAAAGTGTTACAGAGGATACCTTGTTCTCACATGTGATAAAAATAGCTCTCCTTTTTAGGTTGGAGTATCAACACAGTATAATTCCATTGTGGGTAAAATTTATTTTGATAGTCTCATTGTGTAATACAATAAATTGTGCTCGAAACGTTGTCATCAGTAAACATTACTTACTGAATAACACCACTGTGAGACTTTATCAAAATAAATTTTACCCACAATGGAATTATACTCTATCACAATGCACAAGTTCTATTATTATATCAACAGAGCGATGTAACCATATTCTATGCAGGTGATTATTTAGGCCTTCTAACCTTAACAATAACCGTAATCTTTCCTGAACCTAACCCTAACGTGAAAATATTCCTAAACTAACTATAATCTAACTCAAACCAATCCTAATGTCGCCTTTATTAGGTTAACCTAATCCTAACTCGTCCTTGACGTAAAGAATAACTTAATCTTTCCCAAACCTAAGGTGAAACTTGCCAAAAATCCCATTTAACAGCATAACACTTCGATGAGCATATTTTATTGATAGGTGACAACATTATTTGCCAGGTTTCACTGACTTGCTCAGTGAGCGTTTCAAAGTCACTGGTGCGGTCGCACTGCATTGGTAGTTAGTGGTGCTTAAACTTCGCCCTTAAGAGATATATCTCGTTTTACAATGTATCAGGACTGCAATTATGTGGACAGTTGGGATAACATGTAAACCATTATTATATTTTCATTAGTCAGTTTGTGAGGATTTCATTTGTTTCAAGGTTGATCACGGATTGATGTCAGTTAGAGGACCATTGAAAACTGTGGAGTATTGGACAGCTGTTTCGTACAAGTTTGGGACTCGTAGACAGGTATGCACCAACAACCCTACTGGGAATCTAACCCAGAACATCGTGGAAAGCCATGATCAGTGACGTCCACCCGGTTGGGAGTGATGCCAAATGCTCTTCAATGAAATGGGTTGGTGGTCGCTCTAAAATCACGAATTGGTACAAGGTAAAATTCATTGGACACTGAGTATGGACTCAATGGATGAATGATATACGAGCTTGACTTGCAACCAGAAGGTACTGGGTTCGAATCTGGTAGTGGGTGCGTCCTGCCGATAAGTCACAAATAAGTCACGAAGCAGCCTTCCGGTACTCCCTGGTTTCCAATGGTTTTCTAACTGGTAGCAGTTATTAAATTTCTTTTGCATACTATTGGCACTCAACTCTGAGAGACCTCTCGCTCATCAGACACACTGTAGATGCTTACGAAGGAAGACCGTATATAATTTAAATAGTGTACTCTGTACAAGTGTTTCTGATGAATAATTTTCCAGCCAAACCAGTTATTTATTCTAGATCTCTTTATTTTGACAATATCACACTAACAGCACTGTTATGTATTTCTTTTCATGCCATATAAACTAGTTTTCAAGATTAATCTACTGCCTTTTGTAAAAGGCCTATGAACTAAACTTTGTGATACTCGGATACAGTTTAGACAGTGAATGTTATTTTTTATTCCCTCAGTTATTATTTTATTCTTTACGTTCCGAGTGGGACACACGGTTTCAAGCTAGAGCTTTGAAGTTCCAGTAGCAGCCATTTTATTTTTATGGGGTGGGGTTGCGACCCTAACACTCCAACCTTCCTCCTTTAACGGCCTTACTGCCGGCTGAGCGAGATCTAGGAGTGAGTCGACCGGGAACCAATTCCCAAGCTAGATGCATGGTTGGCGAGCGTTCTACCGCTGAAACACAGACGTACGTTTTATTCCCTACGTTTCTATTAATTTGGAATTCGATTGCTTTTCATGAACGGAGACCAGATCTCTAGAACATTACATCCACCGTGTCAGCCAGATATGAATGACTAAATCTTCATTCTTTCCATCGAGGACTACACAAAAAACTTGAGTGTGGTGTGAAAAACAGTTCGTATACCTTTCGACCCCTAGCTAAAATGCCGAGTCTTCATTATAATCTCCTCCGCAGAATACCCTAAAGGTAAACGTATACATAACTACTGCTTGTAACCTAGTACGAAACCACACAGATGAAAATTGCAACACAATCCAAGACTTGAGTTAAGCAGCAAACTATTTCTTCCGTGCTGAAAACATAAATATAAAACTGCTTACTTTCGCTGTATTACGAACAAATGCGTTTGCTGTTTCCTTATAAACTGAGGGCATCATCGGATCTAAGGTAAGCAAGAATAATCTACGCATCTCTTTTGAGAGAGATACTAGAAGCACAGTAGGTCAAAAAGAGTAAACTGTTGTTAAATACTAGTGCTTAGTACATCATGCTGTCGCTATGGTTTATTTTAGAAGTCAAATATGCCTATGTAAAGGTAACTCGATGAATGCAAACTAATTAGGATTTAGTTGGTTCCCATCAAATCAACCTTTCTCAGAAATGGAGAACATTTTGGAAAAGACTGACTGGTTTCAACATAGAACTTTGCACAGTTCAAGTCACCACACTCCATGTAGCACACAAAGCAACAGAAGAAAGTACAAGAAATGCCTAAAAGAAACAGTAAACAGAGGTGTGAGGCAAAGGAATAGTAATAACGAAGAACAAAACAGTTTCATCGGAAATCATAAGTCACAGGGAGTGAATGCATCTGAAAAGGCCACTGAGAACGATTTTGAGCCATATCACCAATTGCTTCCAACCATTGGTTTTTACCGTCCCGAGGAATCCAACAAAACAGGAAGTCTACACCTTCCTACGTGGCTTAAACTAACTGTTGTGGATTTCATTAACTGGTGCCATGTTTTGATTTGACCACCTCTAGCTCTTTTCCAGCCTAACCCTATGTCAGTTAACATTGCCCGTCGAGGAAGGCAATGGCTAGGCATACGTAACAACATGTCCTAACCATCTCAGTCGATGTAATTTCACAACCTCGTCGATTGATTTCCCCTCCTTACCTAGCACTCGACGCCTAACCTCAATATTGCTCACCTTATTAAAAAAAAAAAAAAAAGAAATAGAACGCAGGCACCTATGATCAAAGATAGCTAATCTTTTCATGTCTACCACTCTCAATGGCCAGGTCTCACAAAAAGCCATAAAGGAGGACGGAGCGGACTGATGAGCAGTACACCCGCCCTTTGGTCGAAAGCCAGCCGGACATCACGTCTACGCCGGAGATGGCGTAGACTGGCATATGCGAAACTAGCCCTCTGTATCCGTGCTGAGATTTCGTCAGAAATCAAAGCATTGGAGTTGGGGCTGATGGTACTTCCCAAATAAGTGAAGCGGTCAACGTGCTCTACCACTTCACTTCCTATTTCTAATCTAGGAGTCAGTGTAGTCCAGTCCTGTGACATCATCTTGGATTTGACGGGAGCGAATCGCATACCAAACATTCGTAGATTACAGCTCAAGGTGTTTAGAAGACTCTGCATTTTGTCAGCGTCCTCGCCTAGAAGGACTATATCGTCGCCTGGCCGAAAGCTGCTACATTGACGTGGTGGTCGGGCTTGAACACCGCAATGTCCCAACAAGCTATACTGGCTGAGACTTGTGTCTCTTCAGGTCCTACCGTGCCAGAAAGGTTGTTTGGATAGCGGTTAGATAAAAAGCAGCCACCCAATTCAATACTATGAGTCGAACAAATTCACAAAATATCATGCCGGATCGGTCGGGACCCAGATTAACAAAATAGTGCTAAGTGTGTGGTAATCCTTTTCATCGTACTTTACACCTGGAAGGTGTGACTACTGAGTATCTTTTCACCAAGGATCCCTCCATAAGGTGCACCCAAGGGGTGTGATACGAGATCAAGCAGTATAACGTAAGGAAAACTTGGTCCGTGAAGCATTATTAACCGCAGTAGCCACAATATGTGTCGTGCATCCCAAGTCTCTCAACGAGCAATGTTAGTCTAAATAGGATTACGTCGGGAAAAATTCAAGAATGGTCAAAGCATGACATGATGAATCCATTTGCTTGAAAGAACTATTTGACGTGTTGTAAGTTGTCTGTCCAGGATTCTTACAGTAAAATTTCGGATATGCATGGAATGAAACCTTTCTCAATAGTGCAGACGTATTCACTTCTTATCATTTTACTCCTTTCAGCATTCATAGGTGCTTTTAAGATGTGGTCACCTGACCTGAGGCACTTTTGTGCGTCTAAATCAGCAAGTCAGTCACAATCGATGCCACAACCGATACTTTTAAGAGTGATACTACCCCGTGCAACATCTGTGCCGATAAAAAACTACATGTGCCGATGAATCCGGGGTTGAAACACACCTGTTGTGTAGTATTTTAAGGATCCGTAAGACTTAAAGATCCGTAAGCGAATACATCAAGTTTTGAAACCGGAACTCACAGGATTGAAATTGAATCCAGAGATTGAATAATAGAGGGAGATAATGCATAGATATGAAAACGAATACACTAGTATACCCACTGCAAGTAATTCACTTATGAAACTGTGACTGTTTCTAATAATAAAAATGGTTTCATAAGAGTTCATTGATAAACACGGTCGTTCAGAGCACGTAACTGCCTTTATCCTTTCATTAAAAGTCTGACATTCATCAATAAAATTATGAAAGATGTAGGGCTTAAATTTTGGCAAAACGAATTTTCCCCCGAAACTCTGGGCTAATATTACGCAAAATGAAACCTTGAGTTTTCTTTAGATAGAACGTCAAACCATAAAAAACTAGTTGAGTTTGAACAGTACAAATAGTTCACATGGTCTTAATAACTGCATTTCACCTTCCATCACTTATGCCTGACTAAGAAAGAAAAAAATACAAGCATCGATAGTGATATTAATTCACCATACATTTCAATGGTTACACTTCATACATAGAAACCTGGCCTACAAGAAGCCCATTTGTTGTAAAAAGTTAAGAAAAAACATTAAGCAAACCCAAAACAGCATAAAGTCACATCAAATAAAAATATGAAAACTATAAAGTCTGCTAGTGACAACTTTGTACAAAAGGAGTTACGAATGAGTTCAAAGTTCGTTTCTTGCTTCCAAATAAGTTGCAGCATCAGAATCATATTTGTGAATATTGCTCTTGATGAGTTGAATAAAGTCACTTTTCTCTGAACAACCTCGACATTCCAATCCCCACTTTTCTATTATCTTCTTTAAATCTCTGACTTTTGACTTCTTGAAATCGAACTCCTTAAGGTCGATAACTTTCTCTACAAACATAGTTATTTTGCATTACCGGGCTTACCATATCTTAAGTCGCAAATCTGGGAGTCAAGTTCAAATAGTTTTTGGCACACCTTTTCTACAGGCATCTGCCATTTAATTGGATCCACTAGACGATTAAGTGTACTTGCCGCTGACGTCTTCAAGCCCCCAACATGATAGCACTACGAAAGTTATCAGCACAAATTAAACGTACAAAATCATTATCCTTCCCCACTGATGTTGAACACTTTTTCATGAAAGCTTCCTTGATTTTTTCTGAAGTTTCTCGATCACTGGGTTGTAGTGATTCGATGAAGGATCCCAAAAATTTCATGCATACTGCCAATAAGCTCACATAAAGTAAGAAATTACCTTCGCAATTAGACGCATCAAATCTTTTGGCGGATGTGACTTTTGAAGGAAAAACAAAGCACAGTACGACACCAAAACACAGTAACCAATGCATGTGGCGGCTAAAATCAAAAAACTACGTACACTTGGCAAGGTTTCTATTGGGCCACATAAGTTTAACGATAAAATAAAACAACACTAACATTGAAACTGTTTGTTTTGTTATTAGCAATGTTATAAGCAGTTAAGAATATTAATTATCTTTAAAATATTATTTAAAACTTTTTACATGAGGAGCCAATTGCTGATCATATTTCGAAGGAATCGAATAACCATTTGTGTCCTAATCTGCGGCGTTTTTAATCTTCTTAGGATGACCTCTTGAATATTCTCCCCCGTAATGAGTGAAAAGTAGAAATGATTAATGCTCAAGGCATTTCAGGAAAAATAACATAATGCAGTTGCATTGCTTCCCATGATACGGTGATGATGAGAGTCCTAAACTTTCCAATCTTGTAACACCAGTTTAGTACTGATTTACAAGCCACCCTCTATTCTCATTTAATGGTGCCCAAATATTTCTTTAGTAATAGCTGGATACCTCTATGCAGTATGCGTCATGATCTCTTGCGGAAACGCAACACGGAAGCGCTATGGCTAATATAAGTAGGAATTCTCGCAGAACTGGCCAAGCTGGTTCACATAGCGCTTTAAGACACACTGTATTTCTGTCGGTTACAAAACTGCTTTGTTGCTTCTTTCTATTAGAGTTCCTACCCCTGACACTAGTCACTTCACATTTCCTCTTCTTTAACCACTCAATGGCTTTAATACACTGGTTTTGACATTAGGAGTGCAAATTCTAAAGAAGAAGGCAGGAAATTATCGCCTGTGAACCAATTTCTTCTGTTCTTACAGATTGCGCATCACTATCTCACTCCTCCTTTAAAATGGCTCTACTACCATTACATAAGTGGCAAGCAATTCACACAAATGATAATGGAATATCAAAGTTACGTTCGCAGCTAATTTTCCCATTGTCTGGGACACTCAGTAGTGTGGAAAAATCTCACTAAGAATTCCGTGAACCTGATTCTGTTCACACCAACTTTCATGCCTTCTTATTTGTTTTCATATCATTTCTTCCCTTGAAACCTACCGTGAAAGAACATTTGGCTAGAGACAGGAAACAGGCGCATAACTTGCACATGTGACTGTTTTGGCTGTGAAAATGATTAATTCATCCATCACAGAGATGATTTACTATCTCAGGCAGGTAAGCATCGGGGTTAGGAATGGTACTGGCTTTCTAATGAGTGTCTGTAGTTCAGATTTTCCGGAACGACATTCGACCGAAATGTTATTTAAATTGACATGATTTTTCTGAATAGACCTTCCTGTTCGAATTTCTCTTTGAATAACAAAATGTTAGCAAAAATTCTCTTCTACATTTATTAAGTATTTAAGGGAAATGTGCAGCTCCATAGAAACGCGTTTACGACAAAAGGTTTACTACTTCAAGAGTGTTTAGGCTGTTAATAGTCCATTCCCTTGTTTTACTGGAGATCTTTCATGAGTCAGAAGCTTTTCCCACTTGACTGGTTTACCCATTTTCCGAGTTTGTGCATTGGTAGATGTGTTATTGACTTTCGTTAGTATAAATCTTTCCATAACCACGCACAGTGAATCTTTGTCTAAATGGGCAGACATAAGTCTGTTGATACTAACTCCATCTACGGATTTATCCAGCTAAATCAAATGACGTTTTCAGTGATCTGAGGCCACTTTAAAAAGTTCCTCTAATGATGGCTGTATTTTATAACATCTCACTCGTGTGTGCTAGAACAAAAATTCATGAGACATATACTGCTTGTGATTATTTTGCCTTAAGTTAACCATCTATAGTAGAAACCTTGAAAGTATACAGCCACGTTTTTTTGTTTTCAGCCCCAGGGCTGATTGCACACCAGGAAGTCTGGCATCAGACATTCTCAAAGCCCCATACAGATGTTACAGGACAAGAAGACATTATTTAGTGTTGAATGCGTATTTAGTAACCACGCTGGTAATTGAAAAACCCAGTCAGACAAATGGAACAGTAATCACCATTCAATGCCATTTAATAATGGAGGGATTTGGAAGTCACAACGAGTCAATAGTTTCTGCTCTGTTATTCCTCTTGTTCCTTCGTATTTCTTCATTGCTAACTGACAACTGAGTTGTCCCACTCTGTATATTATTTCCTATGTGGTGTGATGACCCTTAACATTCTTACGCTTTGTTTTATATTATTCTGAAGACCCTCGCAAGCCTTTTGCCATACCAAAATCGTACATCTTCCAAGGTAAATGTATCTTGAAGGCTTGACTACGTGCCTTAAAGGATGCTACATAAACGATATGCTTAGACCCTCTGGTAACCAGCCACCCTAATATTTGTTAAACGAATATTCAGGGCCCAGCAGTAATGTTTGCATATCACTAGACTATTTATTTTCACATAAGAAGACTATTTGACATGTTTATTTTTCTCAGCACTTCAATAGCTGTATGTTTCAGATAAGCTGGAGAATATTCATACATCAGTTGCCTATCCCCACTAAGTCCCTCCTCTTCCTTGGCAACCAAGTTAATGAAAGGAACTAAAATGTTTTGTAGCTAAGAGGGGCCTCATCACTGACCAGGTCACAACTACCCTGTGGTCCCACTCTAAGCACAATGGCGTGGTCTCCAAGGATTATATGCTAATGGTTTTCATAATGTATACGACGTTTAGTTATTCCAGTCTTGAGGACTTCTCTAATTTTGCGGTAGCCCTCACGTTTATATTCATATATCGGGAGCACTCCAACATCTTTAACAGATGTTTTGCCCGACTCTACCCGGTAGAACCTCTTCATCTCTTGTTACGCTTTTGTAGACAAAACTAGTCTATATCGCCTTCCTCGATATCGATCCACTTAAGTTTCCAGGTTGCGGTGGGTTCAAATGCCTTCCAAATAAGCACATCAGTTGGATTAAAGCCAAATTTTACCAGAAACGTTTAGGTGACGGATTACCATATTATATGTAGGTTGATAGCGAGCGAATACAAGTTTAAGATACCACTCTAATATCATTGCATCGTTTCAAATAAATTGTATACCTTCCTCCTTGATGAAATGACATTCTGTTTGAAACGGTTGCTTTTTGTGACCACTTTAATCATGATAAGCGAAAAGTGTGGTCAAACGCTAATATAACGTTTACGAAATGTACTAAATCAGTTCGTGGTACAGATGGCATTTAAGAAATCACTTAGTGACACTTCATGAACGACTCCAAACTCGTTTCCGAATGACTTCAGCTAGACATACGCTCATTATTACCGTGTGAACGCCTGTCCTTCTAGACCTGAGCTTTGACTTCAATACATGCTGGCTCTTTTTCATGGTCATCTAACCTGGTGACCAGCCTATGCCGAACACCACCCCAACTAGTAGAGGAAAAGTATGGCACTTACACCTATTAAGGGATGCATTTATTAACAGTGGTATGAAGACAGAACAGAGATATAATAATAATAATCTACTTCATTCCAAAAACAGTGCTTTTAATACAGAATAGAATTCTCAGCATTTGTAACAATATTTCATCTCGTTTACTCAAAATATAAATGAAATTAAAAATTAAAACAAAATTAACCAGAGGAATTTGTCTGCGTTTGTGATATAAAGTCAAAAATATTCGAAGCACGAGTTGACAATACTAAATACAATGATAATTACAGTGAGTTTGTTTCAAACAGTATTTTCGACTCAGTTTGGAAATTTTGGCATGCTTTAAAGTATTGAATCTAATGTTCTGTTGATATAGTATGAGGAGGGGAAATACAAAATTAACAGTTATAACACAGCTTAAATGGTGCTCACACTTATGAAGAAATGAACAAACGAAAACAAAAAAATTGAGAGGATTATAAATACAAGAAGTACAATAACAATCAAGATCGACGTCAAAGAACGTGAACGTTAAACGTTTATTTTTGGAACTGGTAGCCATTGTTGGGCAAATCGAAGGCGAGAATGGATAATAGAGCATCAAATAATAAACCCTGTTGTATAATGACCAGCAGTTTCCCAGTAAAATCACAGCGACAGTCATGTGCTACATTGGATGCCAGCCACGTCTCGTCAACCGTCAATGCCCAGCTCTTGCTACCCTGGGACTCACGTTGTTCCTTGAAGTTTCTCAGCCAACACACCACAAGCATACCCACAGCACAATCTCACACATCGATGACGACCTGCGCCTCCAGATAAAGGCATCCTCTTGACATCTTGCAACACAACCGCCACTTGCTAGAATGACTCTTGCAGAATGCAACGTGACCATAGCACCATCTCATGATACTCCACGCACATCCTCTTATCTACTCACTACCAATTACCACTGCAATCTCTTGTCACTCATTCTGCCTCAGTTCTAGTAACGGTGACGTACGCAAGCCTCAGCCGTCTACACTCCCGCTCCCCGGCGTGTGGGACCGCAGCTAACAATTATCTCCGTATGCATTTCATTCTCAGCAATAGCCTCCCCGGCGCATACGACCCATCTGCTGTCCTTAACATCAATCAATTCATTCATGGATGTGGAAGACTCGAAACAACTTCAGAAGTAAACGCGACGAAAATTTTAGCAAAATTATGCAATAACATTAAGGTACGAAAACAACGAGTAAACACAATGAATCCAAAATCACAAATCGAGAAGACACACCACACGTATACACAAACAGTACAAATAACCTCGCGGATCATGTCTTGGTGGAATTCCTTTGAAGAATTGCAGGACTTACACCAATACGCCTACAACCCTTCTCAGGTTGGCGATTGTAAGTTGTGGAATGTCCGGACACAAATAAGATTAACCAACAATTACATTAATTGGAACTCACACAATTATTTAACACAAACATATGTACAATCAACACATCAAATGTGGTGGATTCTAGCACGACAAACTACCCTTGAAGAACTGTAGGACTTACAGCAGTACGCCTACATTCCTACTCAGGTTGATGATCCAAGTGGAAGTCGTCCGGACACAAACAGAATTACCAACAGCTAGATGATAGATGATATCAATTCAGTATATGCAATATGAACATATGTACAAAATCACACACCGAGCAAATTGGACTGCTCATT